CCCCCCGCCCCCAACTATTGTCAACTTATTCTCATAAACTATTATTATCGATTTAGTTGATTAGTTGTTGCAGCTCTACTCAGAGACTTCCATGGCAAGGACTCTTCACCTGAGATCCCGGCTTTGTGAGCTGTATCTGTTACAGTCATTATGAGGGGTCTCTCACTCCCTGTTGTCACCTATATTTTGTATTGTGGATGATGTAACTGGAAACTCAAGAGAGACAATCTAGCTACTTGAGTCCCTGAGATATCAGACAACAATAATGCTGAGTGTTACATTTTTAGTGTGTAAGGCCTGTAAAGAGGGTATGTGGGAGTTCACAGGTGGTGTGATAAACCCCCAGACACATGGAGGCAATAGGTGGTTTTCAGCCAAATTACTGGACATGTTAGCATTTGGCAAAGTTTTCCCAAAATGCTTAAAGTGACACTGAACTCAGGAGTTACATCTTAAAAATGCATTCAAGTACCTTAACTATTAACAAAAATGTACCTTGTTTGTGCATCACTCGGCTGTAGATCCTCAAATCTGAATTGGTGCTGACACTGTCCTTCCTTCTGGAGGGTGGCTACTTTTTTTTGCCATGGTCCCTGTGTGTGTTGTAAGGTAGCCACCGCTTCAAGCTCACTCCCGGGATGGACTATACCTTCAATACAAATTAGTAAACTAAACATGAGACTGTAGTCTATAACGTCAGCGATCTTGGAGTGGCGACTACTTTACAGCACACACAGGGACCATGGGGAACAAAAGTAGTCACCCTCCAGAAGGAAGGACAGTGTCAGCACCAATTCAGAGATGATGTGAGGACCTGCAGCTGTGTGATGCACATATAAAATAAATTTGTGTTAATAGTTAGGAGTTACATCTTAATGTATTTAGGTTCCCTGAGTTTAGTGTCACTTAAAATCAAAATAAAAACATGTTCAGTATATCTCTACATTACACGTACATTTCCTATGTTTTGTCTTTTTAAAAATGCTGCATAGACAGAAAAATATCTGTTGATCTGCCAAAAATCCAGTCGTGTAATGAGATGACAATATGCTGCCTCTTCCTTACTGATACACCAAGCAGTGTTAACAGCCTTGTCTAGTTCTCTCAGATGAACCACAGAACGCCTCCCATTTCCTCATCTCCATAACACAATAAAGAAGAGTTCTGTAGTCCAGCAGAGGAGATCTTGGTCAAGTCTGACAGGAATTTAGGAGCTGAGTGAATTTCTGGCTGGTCAACAGGTAGTTTTCTGCACTTGCAGCATTTTTAAAGGGAATAATCATGGTGAAATGTGGCTGTATTGCAGAAGAGTACTGCATATGTTTTTTTTTTCTTTTGCCCAGACATTTAATTTGATTGAATAGTGCCTGTAAATGCAGGTGGTTTGATGTTGCAACACTTGTTCATGTCATTGGTTTCCCTAAGCCTTAGTTAATGCAAGAATATACTGTAAACCTCTGATACAAGGTATACTGTAAACCCATGATACAAATTGGTATTTTGTGCCTTCATAGCTGGCACAAGTCAAGTCAGAAACATCATATTTTTTCTTTCCCCTTAATCATCTACAGTTCGTCTTTTTCTTTTCTTTGCTGTAAGGGGGACAATGCTTAGACATCCCTGCTGTGTTAAAATGCCCATCTACTGGCCAAATTTCGGACGGTTTTTAATGTACCGGCTGAAATTTGCAGTGTGTGGGGCCGTCAGCTGGCATTCCTCGATCAGCTGATCGAAGGAGCCGGCTGGAAAATCTTTGTGCGATCAGAACCGGTAGCCAATGAGCTGCCCGCTCTGATCAGGTATTCTGACAGGTGGCACCTTTTAGAATACAGTGCAAACATCGGCGATTCCTTGATCCACACGCTGTTTGTGTTGATGGAGGAATCACATCAATTTCTTCTGTTCAGCCCGCAAGTTATCAGGAGTATGGCCAGCTTTAGGTGATCAATGTCAAATGATAACAGTTACATCTCCAGCCATTTTACTGGCTGTGCCTGGTCACAGAAAGTGTACATGTAAAGGAACAGGTATTCTGAATAAAGTTTTTTCATATAAAAAAAAAGTTTAATGGGAAGAAAATAGACCTAGTGCTAGAAAGCATCTTCTTTGGTGGTGTACGTATACCTATGCTGGACATTTTGGAGCTTACAGTAATGTGCCCTGGCTTTCTGTTAATGTGGGGGGAGGGGGGGGGTGCGATTGCATAGTAATGGGGAATGTAACTACAATGTGGATCTAGCTTCCTATCACTGGCGTGTTAAACTGAACTGTGATCCCATTGAGTGATTGGTAAGGACCACCCATATGGCTTGTGCAGTATCACTCTGCACTGCTCTTCTTCACTTGACACTACCTAGTACTGGACCGATGACTTAGTCACACCAAGCTGCTGTTTATTTAACATCTACAGGACCTGAAGTCTTCAGCACAATACAATGAATGGGTGGCAGGTTCACAGGATACTGCAGTGTCAGTGTTATTGTTGCTAACCTAATTACCCAATCCTGCAGCTTCCCATCATATCATCTAGTCAAATGCTTGCCAACCTTTGTTAGCTTGTGAGTTGCAATTAAATACAAAAAGAAGTGGTGGTTAGCCACACCAAGGGTTAAGGAACAAGAGGATTGCTGACAGTCTTTGGGCATCTTTAGATCTTAGAAAGTGTCTGGAGGCACTTGTTCCCTAAAACAGTTTTTCATACGATTTGAAATGTTTCCAAACGTATTCCTGTATTAACCTGACTCAGCGGGTCTGTGCTAGAGGTTAGTGTTTGTTCAGACAGTTTGGGAAATGTTTAGGTGATTTATTTGACTTACTGAACAAAGATGAAATATCTTTGTGGGTACTTCTCTGTGGGGACTCCAGTAGGTTCTACCCAATAGATGTACATGTCGGCCGACCTGTCAAACGTTCAAGAATTGCACTGGCGCTATTGTGCATGTGGGTCTGTTTTCCCCCTTTCCCTAACGCCCCTGCTCATTGTTCACCTTGCTACTTTAAATATCCTAAGGAACTTCAACATACATAGAGCATGGTCAGAAATCATCTGTGTAAATGGGCATACGCAACATGCTTTCAGGTGCATTCACTTTGGAATTCAGATAAAATTGAGATGTTTCGGCGTTCCTTCATTGGTGTTTCTGGCTTGGTCTTGACCTATGGTTGACTTTCTCCTAAGCTGCTTTTACACTTCCATTGACGTGTATGGGGAGGAAAGCGGTTCTGGCTACACAAGCCCTTTCTGCCCTTGGTGGGGGGCCCCTTTGTGAGTGCCCTTGAAGTAGTTTCTCTTTCTTTTCATCTTTTTGGAATGGTCCTCAGAAGCCACTGGACGTGAATGGTTTTGACTGTACCTTACAGCTGCGTTTTCCTAAAAAAAGAAACCGCTGGTCTATTACAGTTGCCATGTAGCTCAGCCATAATAAATTATGCCCAAAGCAGGGGTGGCAGATCTGACTCCCTGCTAACAGATGTCAGATCACCCTGGTTTGATGAATGACATGGGTGGGCTTACTTTGTCTTTTCTCTCCTCAGTATATTCTCAATGAGAAAGAATCTGAGATCAAGACAGAACTGTGGATGAGGGAGAATGCAGAGTACCTGCGGGAACAGAAGGGTGAGTGACACGGGTACACACGACTCTTGCAGACGTGTCATGTGGAATGAAAGCATCCAGTATATA